TCGCAATGAATTTTGCCCTTGGCCATTTTATTAGACGGCGGTGGTAATCCGAACCGGCTCGTTCGCTGGTCGGACATGTCCCGAAAAGGAGGAAATTCCTCGGAAGGGGAGAGTTCGAGTTACACTATGAACGAGCACGTGAAGAGGGTTCGTGAAGCACCGTAAGAGAAAGCGATAGTAACAGAATTTTCCGTCGAATGAAAATGAAGCTGGCGAGGTTATGTTTTTCTGCTCAAGATTATAAACAATTCTAATTAATTCAGAGACGAAGCGTTCCTTCTCCTTCGATTGCGCGAGCACGTGAAGAAGGCTCGCGAAGCACCGTAAGAGAAAGTAATCGTAACAGAATTTTCCGTCGAATGAAAATGAAGCTGGCGAGGTTATGTTTTTCCGCTCAGGATTATAAACAATTATAATTAATTCGGTGGCGATGCGTTCCTTCTTCGATTGCGCGAGCACGTGAAGAGGGCTCGCGAAGCACCGTAAGAGAAAGTAGTCGTAACAGAATTTTCCGTCGAATGAAAATAGAGCTGGCGAGGTTATGTTTTTCCGCTCAGGATTATAAACAATTCTAATTAATTCGGTGGCGATGCGTTCCTTCTCCTTCGATTGCGCGAGCACGTGAAGAGGGCTCGCGAAGCACCGTAAGAGAAAGCGATAGTAACAGAATGTTCCGTCGAATGAAAATAAAGCTGGCGAGGTTATGTTTTTCTGCTCAAGATTATAAACAATTCGAATTAATTCGGTGGCGATGCGTTCCTTCTCCTTCGATTGCGCAAGCACGTGAAGAAGGCTCGCGAAGCACCGTAAGAGAAAGTGATCGTAACAGAATGTTCCGTCGAATGAAAATGAAGCTGGCGAGGTTATGTTTTTCCGCTCAGGATTATAAACAATTATAATTAATTCAGAGACGAAGCGTTCCTTCTCCTTCGATTGCGCGAGCACGTGACCAGAAAGAATCGGGTTGACCGTGTTTGTTCGCATCGATCATCGTTTCGGCGGTTCGAAAGGAAGAAATTCCGTCGATATATCGACTGCGAGCGTCGAGGCCGCGCGGTGCATTCAGGGTCCACAATCGGCGCGATAGGCTCGCAAGAACTGATTATCAGAATCGCGAGCCTGTCGGGACCGAGTCGGATCTCATTCATGCACGGCCGCCGAGAAACGAGCCGGCGATCCCCTTTGGTATCTCTTTCGGATCGCCCCCGGTTTGAACAAAAGTTTTCGCTTCGCTTCTTCCATCCGGCCAAAGAGACGCGCGTTCGACCCCTTTGAAGTGTCCGATTTTAATCGCGCGACAGTTATCCCGCTTCTCTCGCTCTCGGCTCCTCCCCCGTCTTCGTCGGCGCGGGCCGGTTCTTTCTCGCGCCGCCGCCGCCAAGTCACGCCCCGAATATTTTTATATCCGGCGACTGAAAAAAGCGCGGATCGATAGGTATATTTATAAGCGCGGGCCGTACCCGAAAGAAATTCCTGAAATATAGACGAGGCAGACGCGATCGCCTCTGAAACGGACCCTCGGGGGAGACCGAATTAAACCGCCCCACCGACCAAGTTCCGCCTTCGTTTCTGCCTTTCAGCTTGGATAATCGAGTTCTCGCTGCGCGAACCTTAAGATCCACTGTCTACCGATGGAATATTCAAATATTGGGTCGTCCCCATAAATTCCTCGCGTTTTATAGTTCCCGTTCTCTTCGAACGCGCGCGCGTTGCGCAAAAAATCTGCCAGAAATTTCTCATATGCGAGTGGAATAGCTGAGCCGGTTACTGCGGCGGGACCAATTACTGTGCCTTTGGTCTGTCTTCTGGCAAGATTAACTTTATATATAATATATAATATAACATAACATAATATAATATAATGTAATATAATATAACATAATATAATATAATGTAATATAATATAACATAATAGAATATAATAGAATATAATATAACATTATATAATGTAATATAATATAACATAATATAATGTAATATAACATAACATAATATAATAGAATAGAATATAATATAACATTATATAATGTAATATAATATAACATAATATAATATAATGTAATATAATATAACATAATATAATATAATAGAATATAATATAACATTATATAATGTAATATAATATAACATAATATAATGTAATATAACATAACATAATATAATAGAATAGAATATAATATAACATTATATAATGTAATATAATATAACATAATATAATATAATGTAATATAATATAACATAATATAATATAATATAATATAATATAATATAATATAATATAATATAATACATGTAATATATATAATATGTATAATATATACATATAATATAATTATATATTAACTTTATATTTGACGAATGAGACCTATCAAATTTTTGTATTTGAAACTAAGCAAAATAAAAGAATAAGAAAATATAAACTTGTGAAAATGTAAAATGTTATTCGATAAATGTAAACTTAATTATTCCCAAAATCAATCCAAAGGCACAGCAAATGGTCACCTCACAGTAACCGGCTCATCATCCTAATAACATTATATGCAAAAACAACCAACAACGGAGGAGACAGCGGAAACGAGAGCCAGTGAAATGATCTGTTTATGGTCGGACAGTAGTATCGTGTGATCACTGGAATAATGCCGAACAGACACGACTACGAAACTCATACGACTGTCTACGCATCTTCCTACGACGTTGTATACGGGTTTCGCACACAAAATTAATAATCCTTTTGTAGATCGTATTCATCTCCTGTTTGCAAATGAAATTGTCCATTTTGCAGGTTTTATTCGTCATTTTGCGAGTGGAGTTCACTTATTCGTAATTCTTTGTAATAATATTCATACCAATGTTAACGATTAAATGTTATTGAGGTTAAATTTAAAAAGAAATAAAATATTAAAATTAAATATATTAATTTTAATATATTATCTATATTATTATATTATTTAATATACCATTGAGTGAAGATTAATTATGATATTAACGAAATTTGTGTCATTTTAGAAGCGAGTACGTGAATTCGCGTCGAATTTAAAAATTAAGCAAAGAACAGACAATGTTGATCTGCGAGAGGGTTCATTTTATTTGCAGAAAGATGAATTTAATTTGCAAAAGGATGAATAAAACCGACACGCGTGTTCGTCTTATTTACAAAAAAAATATCATGTGAATATGATCTAAAAAACGAATTCGTTTAGAGCAGAAACCTGTACGAGTATAATATTTAAAAGTTAGTGTGAAATAATATTTGTCAAGCCTCGAAATAATTTGTAACGATAACGCGGTTCTCCTTCGGTTATATTTCACTGTAACATCGATGGAAGAATGTTATCTCGAACTGCGGACAAAAACTTCGGCTCTAAAATCCTTTCCGGATCGAGCACTAAATTCCAAGCACCTTATTTCAGGCTACCCTTTTTATTACCTCGCTTCGTTACAATTCCCTCCCCTAAGATACTCGTTCGCTCCCTCCCAAGCTTGCCCTACGTAAACGCGCTGTCAAATCTTGTATCCTTCGGATCGTTAGAACTTGATTCTCATTTCCGTTTGCTCTACTTTTTCGCGTCCGTTGTTTCGTTTCAGTTCGGAGATCCCTCATTTCGCATAACTTACGTCAGCCTCGCTTTCTCACGTGTGTTTCGTATTATTCTATAAATATTGCTCTTTTTATATTCCACATTTTGATTAGCACGAGTCATAAATAACTTTCGAGCTTAACAGCTGTGTACAAACCGGGGATAACGAGTTTTTGCTTTCCCTGAATAGATGAGGGTTCGAAATAAATTATATTAAAAAGAAACCGAAAAAAAATGTTTTACAAAGGGCAGATGTTATTTATGACTCGAGGTAATATGTTGTCTATTTTCGTAACAGAAATACGAACGCCCCGATTGCTTAATTCACGCATTTATTTCTTTTACGGTGTGTCGTGTTAATGTTCGGTTGGCCAACAAGTGTTTTCGCGCTTCTCTTCTTGCATTTTTTATTCGTGTGATATTCAAAATATATTTAGAAATTAAACGAACTACCACAGTTGTATCAACTTTACTGATTAATTAATCTAGAGCATGGTTTGCCGAATTTTTTCAGTCGATCTGATTTTTGTTATAAAATTATGATAAAGATAAGACAAGATTATGTTAAATAATGCATAGAAAAATTTTATTCTATAAAATAATCTATTAAGTTCTTTAACACAATGTGTGTTTAATATGAGTCCCTGGAACTTCTGATAGAAGGAGAATCATTTTTTTCAGATATTTCAAAAATAATAAATTAATAAATGGTAAATTTTTCTTTATTAGAAAACTCAAATTATAAAGGCACATTTATAGAGAGTTTAATTAACTTGTTTCACTGGATATGTACTATGATCGAAATCGCTAAAAATTTGAGTAAACGTATAAATATTATTTATTATATTAATATTAATTATTATCAATCATTATTATTAATTATTAATTACATTAACATTATTTATTACATTAATAAATATAATTTTTATGAAGAAACATAAAATAGCTGCTTCTAGAATTCCGTAAACCTACTTTCAAGTTAAAAGTGTCACGCTTAAATAATGCTCCTCGTTCTACAATAAACTTACTTACAATAAACTATTTAAACAAGAACAAAAAGCAGCACGAGAGACCGAATATTTCGGGATCATACTTATAAGTTACAAGATTATAAAAAATTCGGAAACACTGATCTCAAAAACCCGTCAAACCATAAACTAACTACATCCCCCAAAGAACGACAATTTTCAGGACTATTTAAAAAGAACGCGAAGACACTTGTTAACCAAGTAAAGACACCGTGGCATCGTGAACGATCCTATGAAACTGAAAGTCGACGTAAAGATCTGTAAACAGAAAATGCCCGGAGATAGGTAGGCAAAAGTCGACAGTGTCTTGATCCCATCCTAAAGCGTGTGTGATCTAGCAAAGAGACAAAGGTACGAGAAAGCGTAGAAGTAGAGAAATCTGAACGGGACTCACGGGTGAGAGACGCGGCGATGAAGACTCCTCATGGACATGGCTCTGTTCTTGCGGTTCGAGCTCGGATTGGATCCGCTCGTGCTTCCGTTCGGCGTGGTATGGCGTGGCGCAGCTGCTGGGGGAGCGGACTGCTCCCCCGTGGCCGCCACGACCACCGCCGCCGACGTAAGGCCCCCCGAAGTCGCCAGGCCGTTCCGGCGAAACGGGCCCGAGCTAGCCGCTAGTCGGCGTGCCAATCGACGGGCGAGCCGACGGGCCAGGCGCGCCCCCGCAGCACCGGCACCCACGCTGACGGTATTTCTGTCCCACCCCCCGTGGCCAGGGGGTGGCACACAACACCCTGGTCACTAACCCGCCCCGAGCGATTTTTGTCGAATTTTATCGCCTCTCGTCCCCGACTTCACTTCCACTTGCCGCTTCTCTGGATCGCTTCGGACCGATCGGTCCCCTCCCGCGGATGGGCCTTGGCTCAGTGATCGCGGTCCATTCGTCGGTGATGCAAGGCTGCCGGTCGGCCGGTTACCAAGAAGCGCGAGTGCCTCTGGTCGGGATTCAGAGCGTGGGCCCGAGCTCGGCTCTGCTCTGCTCACTGAAAAAATAATAAGGGTACTTTGTTAGGGGCCTTGGTGGATAGGTCATTGTTTCGGTTGGAAGTAATGATTTGTTAATAGATCGCGGAGCGATGATAAATATCGTGAATCGTTAGTTGTTACAGGATCTGGTCAATATATGGGCCCATTTATACGGACTGTCCCAAAATTATGGTATTTCTGGGAAGTGAGGGATTCCTGAGGTCGTATGGAGCAACTTTTTCCTTTACAAAAATGTTCTCCGAGGCTCCGTTTACGAGTTATTAACGAGAAACGCTGACCAATGAGAGGCGAGCTCGCCGAGCGCTAGGCGGCGCTAGGCGGCCGAGCCAATCAGCGGAACTGGGCTTCCAGCGCTCGTGGGCTCGGTCGCCACGAGTCAGCCGAGCTCGCCTCTCATTGGTCGCGGTTTTTCGTTAATAACTCGTAAACGAAGCCTCGGATTGCATTTTCGCAAAGGAAAAAGTTACTTCGAATGATCTCAGGAAACTATTTCTCGATTGCGAGACATTTTGTAGACACCCTGTATAATAATGCACACCACTATATCCATTGTCTCATTCAGGAGAGTTTACAGAATGATCCTACGTGAAAATCGTTCACTCAACATCATTTCCCGGAAGTCGAGCTTAATTGATCGACCTTAATTATCTCATTTCGGGTCAATTATTGTATCGCATATAAGTATTACAAAATTTCTATGGACTAATTAGGACCATACAACCCGTGGCAATTATTTTCTATAAAGATTACGCTCCGTAAAGTGGCTCTTTTTTATCAGACAATGTGAACAAGCTGCGTTGCGAACGTGCCATTCGATCTTTCTAACATTCGCTCGGAGAACTCGCTCAAAATTAATCTCTTGCTCGATCTTTTCACCTGTCATATTTTTTTCTGTTCCTAAATACTAGCATTTCGTCATTTTAACACATTTAACGAAGCGGTGACCCTTTTTTTGATTTTTTTCCATCGACGACCCCGCTCCGCGGCGATGGCGGAAAGTCTACGGAAACGGTTTCCTAGCGAATTACGTAATTTCCATCGTTCCCAAGCTGCCGGCTAATCTGGCAAGATTGTGATTCCTCCGCGAAGTGAATCAGCACTTTCGGGATCGATAAATTAGAGCCATAAACGCCTAGGACTTAGCTTACAACCCCGGATCCCTTCGGTCCCCGCAAAAACTTCGCTCGAATTCGTTGCGGTCGGACTCGCGCTCGCATGTATTGGGTGTGCGCGAAAGTTTTGATAGGTTCTGCTGTACAGGAATCGACTGTGTTATTGACCTAGCAAGTTCGACTGATGGAATCTGTACGCATGCCCAACGAAAAGGTAGGAGAACGGGGGAGGCCCATTGGTTGCGAATTCTCTCTCTCTCTCTCTCTCTCTCTCACTCTCTCTCTCTCTCTCTCACTCTCTCTCTCTCTCGCTTTGTCTCTCTGTCTCTCTGTTTATAAACCTTTCTCTTTCTATTGATAGAACGCTAGCCTAACAGGGGCTTTCATGCCCGTCAGCACTCACTATACACCGGATGAATCCACTCGAGTTTTTGCTGCTATAGCTAAGTAAGTATAGATTGCATTGAATGAGCACTTCATTGAACGAATGGAGTACGGCCAGCAGCCGAAACATTTCCCAGACTTTCTCGCTGTCTTTCACCTTCGCGCCATGTCCTGGAGCCTTGGAGCTTTTCACTCGCGGATCCGTCTGCGATCCGAATTACGAGGCCCTCGCGCCACATTCGGTGCACTGGGCGACTTACGCGAGCATCCGAGAGACCGAGGAATCGACGGTCTAGGATCTATCGATCGTCCGTTGATTTTGTCTGAGGTACTTATTGATTTAGGCAATTTTTTCTTACTAAACGTCGATTCTTTCTTGATATTTTCACTGGTATTCGAATCGAAACAGAATTAAGTCCTCTGTTAGGAAGATGGATTTTATGTATTTATGGTGGAAGTTAGGATAATTTGTTAAGAAATTTGTCAAATATTTTATTAATACATTAACTTCTCCGTTATGGTTTTCGTTGAAAGGAAAATTAGAATTTTTAGAATATTATGAATGCGCGGAGTGCAAGATCAATCAATAGTCGGAAATATTTTTTATCTGCGACAGTTAATGCGAAGACGTGTATCGATTGAGATCATTTTTAGTTCAATTGTAAATCCATTTTTTTTTTTATAGGAATTTCCTTCCTCAATTTCGATTTTTTAGCGAAATTAATAGGTCCCTTATTATAATGTACTGCATACTGCAACTTTATTGCATATCGACGCAACTATTCTGCGAGAGCATTCACTGACTAATGTTGCTAAGTTCAATTATTTTCATTCAACACGATTTCTACTACTATATCATAAGCAATTCAGCTGAAAGTTTTGTTTATATTATTATATTATATTATTACATTATATATTATATTATTATATTATTGTTATGCTATATATTATATTATTATATTATTATTATATTATATTATTATATTTTATTATCTATGAACGTAACAATCTCTGCTTTATCAATCGTTTAAAAAAAGAAAACAGTAAATAGACTCTGTAGTGAATATAGTAATAGTACTATAATATAGTACTATAATATAGTACTAATATAGTAATAGTACTATAAGTAGTGAATAAGTAGTGAATATATAGTAATAGTACTATATTCACTACAGAGTCTATTTACTGTTTTCTTTTTTTAAACGATTGATAAGGCAGAGATTGATACGTTCATAGATGATAAAATATTTCTTGAATTTTATTTCGATAAATAAACCTACGATCTCTCGGTTAAATAATATAATATAATAATCTAATATATATATATATATATATATATATATATATATATATATATAACCCCGTATCCTACGGTCCAATAATAACGACAGCGTCAATGGACNATAATTGACCGCCCCGCATTGCCAACGACGTACAACAAGCCCGCTATTTCCATAAAACTATAATGATTATGCCAACCACTGAGAATTCATCAAAACTTTCACGCTCACCCGATAGATTAAGATAGATGGGCGAAGTGTCCGTCGCCTAACTTATAACTGGCTCTGCGACCGGAAAATGGATGATGATTCTACGTCGAAAAAAAAAAGAAATAGAAAAATGTCGTACACAATTTTCTCGTTTCCGTTGAAATCGATGCTGATTACCTCGAATTGCATCAATGTCTATAAACGATGTCACACCGTATCGACATTACTTATTTTCTTTTTCTTTTTTGTTACAATAGTCTGTCACAAATTGACGAGCTGATTAAATCATCGGTAAACAAATGACAGCGGTCTCATGCTTGACAGGTTATAATTCATATATAATTCTCGCGTATCGATCAAAATAACATCCATCACACGTTATATGCTGTGTGGTGTCCCTACACGGATACAAAATTATTTGCGTCCTTTCTAAGAAAAGCCTCATAAATCTCGCGGTCGATAAAGTCTTCGGGCGCATTGACAACTATTGATTCGCTGGTAAAACACTTTTTATTGGTGGAAATAGGTTTAGAAACTATCGGCGCCGCTGCAATTAAATCGGGAACTGCACAGAAAGTGCATCAGGCTTTTATTTATTTTTTATATTCTGGAGACAATAAGTAAAATAATGCAAGTACTATTTATTCGAGAGCCTAAGTTGGTATTTTAGGGAAACTGTGGAACGGAACGTCTCGAAAATGCTCGCTAAAATCTCACAAATATCTTATATATGTATATATTATTTTATATTGATCTATATATATTAATCTATATATATTATTTTATATATATTGATTTATATATATTAATCTATATATATATTATTTTATATATATTATTTTATATATATTGATCTATATATATTAATCTATATATATATTGATTTATATATATATTAATCTATATATATATTGATTTATATATATATTAATCTATATATATTATTTTATATATATTGATCTATATATATTAATCTATATATATTGATTTATATATATTATTTTATATATATTAATCTATATATATTATTTTATATATATTGATTTATACATATTAATCTATATATATTATTTTATATATATATTTTTTTTCTACTTCAACGACAAATCATAGTCTCGTTATCGTAGAATCACGAGCGAAATTATTACAAACAATTCCCAAACGCCTGTGCGCTCAATATTTTGGGATTTATCCGGCGGCCTCCGGATGAGAACCGCTGCGAGACAGAGCTCAGAATCTGCGAGAGAAACTTCTCAATGTTTTTCCGACACATTCGTGTCGCGTGCTCGCGATTACGTCCTGTGCCCGGCGAAATCACTTTTTCTATTTCCATGGGACCGTGTTTACCTAATCAGCCTCGCGTGGCGCGAGGTTTCGCGTGACTCTGCCGCGCCGTCGCTAATACGTACACGTGATTTTTATCGGTCGTCAAACGGCCGCGCGAACGAAGCCGAAAGTGTGAAGCCGCGACTCCGCGGTTCTTTGTCCCGGAAATACATATTTCGCGGGCCGCGCGCTGCGCCGGTTCATTTGCAATGATAACGCGGGAGAATCAAGTCAAGCACGTTCGGATATCGGATACTGGGTATAACGAAAACATTCAGCCGATCAAGTTCCATTCACCGTCACCCCGTCGGCTCCTTTGGCGATGGTCGCGCGTCTGTGCAATCCGCAGGGACGGTCGTTAACGCTGAACGTGCCGAGAAGTGAAAGTGGCTAACTTTTTTTAAAAAATGGAATAAATGACTTGACTGTTTTTTCGATGATGGGGGGATCAGTTTACTAGACGATGACTTTAATACCTTTTTTTTTTAATTCTGCGATTACTTGGAATGACAGAAATATTGAGAAGCTCGTGCTTTTCAACCTTTTTATCTGAGCCTGAAACGAAAGTTTAAAATATGCATGATCGAAAGTTTTACTCGGATCATATGAACGCAGATCAAAAGCTTTGCTCGGATTAAAAACTTTACTCAGATCAAGTGAACGCACATCAAAAGTTTTACTCGG